TGCACAAACGTTCCTTGCGTTAACCACAGTCGAGAATTGCCCCTAACGAGGGTACAATAACAGTAACTAGTTAAACAATCTGTGCAAAAATTCACTTAAAATACGACAGCAATTATTGTCATTATTATTATTATCATCATCATCTGTTGAACGCGGTTTCTTTTCTTTAATTTCAAGTGTATTCCGTAAAGTGCTATGTGTGCGACAATTGCGTGAATGTGGATACGAATACCACAACTCAAGACAACTGTGGTGCATGCAGTGTGAGTAGTATATTAAAATTGTTGTGATTTAACTGAATTCGAAATTCTTCTGTTTTCCAGTGTGTTTACCTCAGATATGCAGTAATGTTGAGTTCTCGTACAGAGAGGGAAAGCAGTTATCTGACTGTGAGATAACAGTGCTGAATTCCTAGGTGTATCAGACGAAGAGTTAGCCATCTGATTGACTACTTCAACAGGCACTTTAGCTTCTATTAGAATTTCAGTGTATCTCATCTGATAGCACACTCGGTGTATCACGTAATTGAATTTGCTTCATTCAAATGTGTAGTGGAAAAATGGTCACTAGAAGAGAAATAACGATGGATTTCTTCCAACACAAAGACAATATGACACTTCTTATTGAAGTGTCGAGTTAACTGCAGGAAACACAAGCCGACGCGATTTGCACCAGTAACCCTCCATAATGTACTTTGTGCTCTCCCACATGGCTTATCGTCTCGCCAACACTTTGTCTTATCCACCATTACATGTGTGTGTGTTTGAGGTAGTAGGTAAGTGAAGAATTTATATAAGCGATACGAGGCATATGTATGAGTGCATTATTTGGTTGAACGCGTAGACGACTATATTCACTCAGTTATTGAACATCTCGCGTAAATCAACGCAGTTAATTAATTGTTGTAATTGAGTTACTCTAGTCTATGAAAGCCATTGTAACCGCAAATAACAAACCATTGATGTTATATTTTATCAGCGGGTGTGTTTATTCCACTCGGAATACACACGAACGATGAAGACATCAGCTCATTTGACTGTGATAAATCCAGATGAAATTCCTCAGTCATAATAATATCTGCTAACTGGTAACGATCTCGCCGCTTTTACGATGAACAACAAAGTGAAAGTCCAGCTAGTCTGTTCACACACAGACTGGTGGGTGGATCAGACTTCATCTCAATCCTTCTCCTTTCATTCTTTTCAATTTCTTTGAAATTTGTAGAAAGGAGGATTTCCGAAAATTTTCATGCAAAGACAATGTGTTAGCAATTGCTCATTAATCGCGTCTTACTTCCCTATCAAAGATGTCCTCGACTGCTGTACAACTGAACTGTGCAATGATGCTACGAAATTGAAGCCACTCGTATCGGTGACAATTGCAGTTTGCCTCATTTGGAGAATGTTAACTGGTCCCAGATTGGATTGAATTGAATTGAATTGACTTGAACTGACTTGAATTCAATTGAATTGAGTCAGCTCACAGCTACACTTTCAAACGGAGTAGCTAGTGTTTGTGGCTGTGTTTTTGCTTTGTTTGTTTTCTTTTGATTTTTGTTTACAAACATTTGAGTACTGTTGCATACCTCAGTGTGATAGTGCATCTATTTTTGTCTTCATCTAATCTATAGTTGAACTTGATATTTTCTTCTTTCTAACTCATTATTCTCTTGTATGGTGTGTTGTAAAATGATGTTAAATTTACTTAAAAATTGATTAATACAAATTCCTTCTAATTAAGAAGAGCATCCACTTTCTGTGAAGTAATTTGGCTGTGATGTGTGTACGTGTGTGTGTGTGAGTGTGTGGGTGGTTACTGTATGTGACTTCAAACTGGTCACAGTGGACAACTGTTCGTCCTCTGACATGGGATGACGAAGTTTACTTGACTAGACGATTTCGGAGTAGTCGTCAGCTTCCCATTCAATATCGATCCTCATTTAGGAGGTGGTGTGTGTTTTTGAGAATTTACATCACATCTGGTCACATCACTACTGTCGTCCACATATTGACGAGTGGTTAACAATGACACTGTGAAATTCGACTGCAATCTTTGGGTAGATTTGTGAGGTAATCACTAGTAGTGTACCAGTTGATTTCGTTGTTGTTATTATTGCAGTTGTTGTTGTAGTTCTGGGGATTTCATTTTAACACGAATATATGCATGCGTTTGTGAAGAAGTTAGAATACCTCGCATGTATCATCATCGCACCAACCGATGAATGGTGTTTTTATTCGGAGAGGCATCTTGATGAGTATTGACACTTTGGCATGATTTGATTAGGTGCTAGTAGTGAATGGAATTTATCTCGTTTTTCTGAGACAGTGGTTGATGAACGGAGACTGTTGTTTTGAGAATCTCTTCCATCATTGTCGCTCCATAAGTACCGCAATAACTACACTTTTATTGGTGATATCCTAAGTGATAATTGTGTGCAGGCTTAATAAGTATTCTCTAACGCTTACGCATCGAAATATATACATTCAATTATGCTACGCATTGTTCAACGCTATACTAGAGTTTTGTTATTGATTTATTTTGACGCGATGCAAAAATACATAAGCCGCACAGATTGCACAAAGATCGGCGGTTGATTTAAGCGAACTGCAATGGACTCTGCTGTTTTGAGTGTTCCGTATGTAGAGGCGCTTGCTATTTGATTCGATATGCAACACATGATAGTAAAAGACTCGTCAATGCCAGCCAGCTGTGCTACCTGTTCGGAGAAGATAACCTAATATAGAAATGTAGACGGTTTCGCCAACGGCTTTATTCAACCACACTGCTAGATGTTTCTGACGACGAAACACAAGCCTCATTGAGAGGCGGCCGATATATCTGGTTTCAGAGGAGCGATTGAATTGACAGATGAAATCAGATTTAGCCGGCGAAATTAAACTTCGTCTTTCATTTTCGAAGTCATATCTGGTCGAGTGACAAAATGAGAGCGATATCTTACGGACATCACGCCTCCTATGAATGGATTTTATTAGCTGGTTCTATATTCAGAAGGAAAACGTAAATTTCCGCATAGTATATATTTTATATTTTTTATATTTTTGATAATAGCTTGATTTCACACAGTAATTTTCGTATGTGTATGGAATTTTCAGTGCGGATGTCGCTAGCCCAAATTCCGCAGGCCGACCATAGATATCAGGTGTGCGTATGTGTGGGCTCGAACCCCGGAACATGTCCATAGTGGGAGTTTTAACCGCTGTGCTACCGGCGCATATATGGTATATGGTATCGAATAATCCCCTCTTATGGCTCTACAATTATATGTGTATATTTGTATGCACAGAATGCTATAGAATGATCGTCATCAATAATATTGGTGTTCTTCAATTCAATAGTTATATATTTATCTATAATTATGGCCACAATTGTTGAGCCAGAAGAGGAAATTATCGGAGAGGATATTCTCTGATCAAATTCTCGATTGTCCTCTAAACGTCTTGAAGAATACTTCCGGTGTATTGGAATCTGCTGAGCAACATTTTGCGTTAAAATACTGAGCCAATATTTCGTGTTCATTTCAAGGCTCAGTGAACCAAAGACTACTGTACACTTCATCTATCAGTGAAGTGAGACAAACCGGTAACCAAAATCTCATTGGAAATCACTATGTGGTAACAGACCTCAGTGCAATGTGAGGACACTCAAACGCCATGCACGTAATCAGACTGACTCAATTCACACAGGTATTACTGAGTCATCAAAGAACGTCGCTGTAAGGCTCGATGCTGTGTATGCGCTCCCAGAGTATTTGAAGAAATCTATTTTGGATCATGTGGATGATATTTCTAAAAAATAGAGAGTAAAGTAAGGTGGGAAGCTGTCACAGAGTCTGGAGAACAAGTCACCTGAAACGAGATTTCCTCAGAAGCAATTTCATCGTGTGTATAATTCTACAGATGAAGCCCTTGATGAAGTGTATCTGCAAGTCTTATCCCTCGGCACTACGTTTCGTGATAGTGATCTTATAATTGGTAACATGGATGCACAAGTTCAGCTTGAAGGCTGCTCTACATAAATGTAGGTATTAAAATTTACATCAACTGAAGCTGTTGAATGAATTTTGAAGTTAACTCAAGTTGATTGTTGTTGTAATTATATGAATAGTAGGCGACACTCGCATAATATTTTCACCAGGAAATATATCAAAATCTTATGCTAAATTGACTTCATCAGTGACGTTGCTGGTGATATTTTTGAGCTTCACAGTGAAAAATGGTACGTTGAATATCGTGTTCTTTTCTGTGTTGATTAGTATTGTTGGTCCATGTCCAGTTTTGTATTATGAGTCACAAAATGGCTGAAGGCTGTTCATCTTTCACTGAATCTAGGAAACATGTTTCGATAATAATCTTGGTCAGAGCGCCAAATTTGCGTGAATAATTTGTGTCATTTTTTTCCAGTGTGTTTGTAGTAGTAGAAGTGAGCATCATGTACGAAAGGCGATAAGAGAGACTGACGATTCGGTTGATCTGAGTTCTGATCTAAATACTTATCTAAATTCACATGAATCATCAAATAATTTCTGACTTACTGGTGGATCACAAATACCGAGATAACATTCACTTTTGACTGACGTGTAGTAATCATCGCTGACTAACCTGTCCACAGAAGACAGATATGATAAATGACAGTTACTTGTGAAATAATCTGTGGAACTGTTCAACAATAATAATAACCTATGAAAGGTCAAAATTACTTCAACAGTGTCATCAGCCAGCCAGACAGCCATACAGCTCAGTGAGTAGTTTCTCAAATGCAAAACAAGTATTGAGAATCGAGTGGAATACTCCCAACAAGGAGCAAACGGCGAGAATCACGTATCAAATAATTCTTGCAGACAGGAATTACAAGGTCGAAATCCCCAAAGACAAACATAAATTCATTCAAACAAAATCGACGTCGGTAATCATTACACCGTCTTTCAGAGACAAACATCCGACTTCATCCCTACTTGACGGTGATCATTACTTGATAGGTGATTAATTAGTGCAACACATTGTGTGTGCTTCAAAGTTAACACAGTCTAAAGGATGAAGAAACTGATTTCTGAAAGCTAATAATACTTCGGAAATATTCGCTGAAATATTAGACGCGAAATCAACTGAGTGATTTGCTTCATTCACTATTCTGCAGAGTATACCTAAACCACGCCTGAAATTATTCTCATTATTATTATCATCATCATCTGTTGAACGCGGTTTCTTTTCTTTAATTTCAAGTGTATTCCGTAAAGTGTTATGTGTGCGACAATTGCGTGAATGTGGATACGAATACCACAACTCAAGACAACTGTGGTGCATGCAGTGTGAGTAGTATATTAAAATTGTTGTGATTTAACTGAATTCGAAATTCTTCTGTTTTCCAGTGTGTTTACCTCAGATATGCAGTAATGTTGAGTTCTCGTACAGAGAGGGAAAGCAGTTATCTGGCTGTGAGATAACAGTGCTGAATTCCTAGGTGTATCAGACGAAGAGTTAGCCATCTGATTGACTACTTCAACAGGCACTTTAGCTTCTATTAGAATTTCAGTGTATCTCATCTGATAGCACACTCGGTGTATCACGTAATTGAATTTGCTTCATTCAAATGTGTAGTGGAAAAATGGTCACTAGAAGAGAAATAACGATGGATTTCTTCCAACACAAAGACAATATGACACTTCTTATTGAAGTGTCGAGTTAACTGCAGGAAACACAAGCCGACGCGATTTGCATCAGTAACCCTCCATAATGTACTTTGTGCTCTCCCACATGGCTTATCGTCTCGCCAACACTTTGTCTTATCCACCATTACATGTGTGTGTGTTTGAGGTAGTAGGTAAGTGAAGAATTTATATAAGCGATACGAGGCATATGTATGAGTGCATTATTTGGTTGAACGCGCCTCTATATACGGAACACTCAAAACAGCAGAATCCATTGCAGTTCGCTTAAATCAACCGCCGATCTTTGTGCAATCTGTGCGGCTTATGTATTTTTGCATCGCGTCAAAATAAATCAATAACAAAACTCTAGTATAGCGTTGAACAATGCGTAGCATAATTGAATGTATATATTTCGATGCGTAAGCGTTAGAGAATACTTATTAATCCTGCACACAATTATCACTTAGGATATCACCAATAAAAGTGTAGTTATTGCGGTACTTATGGAGCGACAATGATGGAAGAGATTCTCAAAACAACAGTCTCCGTTCATCAACCACTGTCTCAGAAAAACGAGATAAATTCCATTCACTACTAGCACCTAATCAAATCATGCCAAAGTGTCAATACTCATCAAGATGCCTCTCCGAATAAAAACACCATTCATCGGTTGGTGCGATGATGATACATGCGAGGTATTCTAACTTCTTCACAAACGCATGCATATATTCGTGTTAAAATGAAATCCCCAGAACTACAACAACAACTGCAATAATAACAACAACGAAATCAACTGGTACACTACTAGTGATTACCTCACAAATCTACCCAAAGATTGCAGTCGAATTTCACAGTGTCATTGTTAACCACTCGTCAATATGTGGACGACAGTAGTGATGTGACCAGATGTGATGTAAATTCTCAAAAACACACACCACCTCCTAAATGAGGATCGATATTGAATGGGAAGCTGACGACTACTCCGAAATCGTCTAGTCAAGTAAACTTCGTCATCCCATGTCAGAGGACGAACAGTTGTCCACTGTGACCAGTTTGAAGTCACATACAGTAACCACCCACACACTCACACACACACACACGTACACACATCACAGCCAAATTACTTCATAGAAAGTGGATGCTCTTCTTAATTAGAAGGAATTTGTATTAATCAATTTTTAAGTAAATTTAACATCATTTTACAACACACCATACAAGAGAATAATGAGTTAGAAAGAAGAAAATATCAAGTTCAACTATAGATTAGATGAAGACAAAAATAGATGCACTATCACACTGAGGTATGCAACAGTACTCAAATGTTTGTAAACAAAAATCAAAAGAAAACAAACAAAGCAAAAACACAGCCACAAACACTAGCTACTCCGTTTGAAAGTGTAGCTGTGAGCTGACTCAATTCAATTGAATTCAAGTCAGTTCAAGTCAATTCAATTCAATTCAATCCAATCTGGGACCAGTTAACATTCTCCAAATGAGGCAAACTGCAATTGTCACCGATACGAGTGGCTTCAATTTCGTAGCATCATTGCACAGTTCAGTTGTACAGCAGTCGAGGACATCTTTGATAGGGAAGTAAGACGCGATTAATGAGCAATTGCTAACACATTGTCTTTGCATGAAAATTTTCGGAAATCCTCCTTTCTACAAATTTCAAAGAAATTGAAAAGAATGAAAGGAGAAGGATTGAGATGAAGTCTGATCCACCCACCAGTCTGTGTGTGAACAGACTAGCTGGACTTTCACTTTGTTGTTCATCGTAAAAGCGGCGAGATCGTTACCAGTTAGCAGATATTATTATGACTGAGGAATTTCATCTGGATTTATCACAGTCAAATGAGCTGATGTCTTCATCGTTCGTGTGTATTCCGAGTGGAATAAACACACCCGCTGATAAAATATAACATCAATGGTTTGTTATTTGCGGTTACAATGGCTTTCATAGACTAGAGTAACTCAATTACAACAATTAATTAACTGCGTTGATTTACGCGAGATGTTCAATAACTGAGTGAATATAGTCGTCTACGCGTTCAACCAAATAATGCACTCATACATATGCCTCGTATCGCTTATATAAATTCTTCACTTACCTACTACCTCAAACACACACACATGTAATGGTGGATAAGACAAAGTGTTGGCGAGACGATAAGCCATGTGGGAGAGCACAAAGTACATTATGGAGGGTTACTGGTGCAAATCGCGTCGGCTTGTGTTTCCTGCAGTTAACTCGACACTTCAATAAGAAGTGTCATATTGTCTTTGTGTTGGAAGAAATCCATCGTTATTTCTCTTCTAGTGACCATTTTTCCACTACACATTTGAATGAAGCAAATTCAATTACGTGATACACCGAGTGTGCTATCAGATGAGATACACTGAAATTCTAATAGAAGCTAAAGTGCCTGTTGAAGTAGTCAATCAGATGGCTAACTCTTCGTCTGATACACCTAGGAATTCAGCACTGTTATCTCACAGTCAGATAACTGCTTTCCCTCTCTGTACGAGAACTAACATTACTGCATATCTGAGGTAAACACACTGGAAAACAGAAGAATTTCGAATTCAGTTAAATCACAACAATTTTAATATACTACTCACACTGCATGCACCACAGTTGTCTTGAGTTGTGGTATTCGTATCCACATTCACGCAATTGTCGCACACATAGCACTTTACGGAATACACTTGAAATTAAAGAAAAGAAACCGCGTTCAACAGATGATGATAATAATAATAATAATGACAATAATTGCTGTCGTATTTTAAGTGAATTTTTGCACAGATTGTTTAACTAGTTACTGTTATTGTACCCTCGTTAGGGGCAATTCTCGACTGTGGTTAACGCAAGGAACGTTTGTGCAGCCACCCGTTTGAATATGAATTTTGCTCTGCAGCATCCACATGACAAGACGTCCGTCAGAGTTGTCAACATCAATCAACTTTCATGAAGTAGTAATGATGTCACTTTAGAATGACAAACTCTCTTATACTAGTGTCTACTATATTCTGGTGTACGACTCTTCAGTCATGAAATATGGACTTCAAGCCTTGTTCACGTCGTTATCGAAATATACCAGTCTGTATCATCACAATGGAATACGATATCTGTCTTCTGTAGATGGGTTTGTCAGCGATGATTACTACACGTCAGTCAAAAGTGGATGTTATCTTGGTACTTCTAAATCACCAATACGTCAGAAGGTATTTGGGACGTTCTATGCATTTAGATCACTATTTCACTTTGCAGCTCATGAGTAGAACTCAAATCAACCGAATCGTCAGTCTCTCTTATCGCCTTTCGTACATGATGCTCACTTCTACTACTACAAACACACTGGAAAAAAATGACACAAATTATTCACGCAAATTTGGCGCTCTGACCAAGATTATTATCGAAACATGTTTCCTAGATTCAGTGAAAGATGAACAGCCTTCAGCCATTTTGTGACTCATAATACAAAACTGGACATGGACCAACAATACTAATCAACACAGAAAAGAACACAATATTCAACGTACCATTTTTCACTGTGAAGCTCAAAAATATCACCAGCAACGTCACTGATGAAGTCGATTTAGCACAAACCATTCTGATGATGCTACTGAGGTTAACGACGATTGAAATACTATTAAAGTGTGCTCTAATCTCATTAAATATTGCTCAACACACATGAATTTCATGTTACCATGGTTTTGATGACTAGGTGACCAATAGTAATTCATCCTACCTGACCATACCATTTCAGAGCTGACAACCAATCAGTGTTTACATTTGACAAATCGCCAAATACTGTTTACTTACTAAATTTATTCCGTTTCAACTTTACTGCACTACGATAATTACTCTGAATATCATACTGTATGAATTAGTAAGTAATAGGCAGTGGTGATGATGTTCACCTCATATCTTGATATTGTGAGAGGAAATGACTTATTAAAAGGTGTCGTGGACAATTTCGTGTCACATTCAGTCTGAACATTTCGTCGTATGTTCGTTACTGGCATTCATCAGAAGCCATCTGAAGTCAAGTGAACAACGCTGCACGTGTGAGTTTGACAGACAGTTGTACGTTCGCCTTCATTATCAAAACCATGCACATTATTTAATACTGGTAATTTAGGTAGGGATTTATAATTCCGCTTCATCTATACAGTCTACATGCTATCACTATTTAACATAACATAACAACTCGCTTTATTCCAGAAACAGTACTTGTGGTACAGTGTGGAATTTTCAGCACATATCTACAATATTGCATCTAATTTCATCGTACATTAAAAAGGAGTATTACAAAAAAAATAAGTATAAAAAAACACGACAAAAATAAACCAAAAAACGAAACACAGAAATAACAAAGAAAAACAAAAGAAAAGAAAAAAATGCAAATAAAAAATACCAAGTAGAAAGGAAGATAAACACTAATAATGAAAAAAATATATTTCAGTACTGGGTAATGGAAGCTATGATATGTGTATGCGTGGTGAACAGTAACAGCTATGATCGTAGAAGAAATTATGAGATGTTCTTAAGAACGTTAATAGCTAAGATGATCACTTAATTTGATTGAACAACACTAAACAATCATAAAATAAACATTTCAGGTTGTGTTTTTTTTCATTGTCAGCACTAATGCAGTGTTAGTCTTGGTAGTGTTATTAATGATGCATAATACAAAATTTTTTAAGATGGTGATAGTGGCGTTCACAACCAAGACTGCCAGTTAAATAGTGCCGAACAAAGAACAACCACAAAACTAATGTTACATGATGGTTAATGACGGGACAATTTTTTAATAATCATAGTGATAATATAGTCGGACCCAGTAGATATACAAAAGAAGGAATAAAGTGCAAAAAAAGTAAGCCAACGATAATTAATTTTGAGCAGCTAAGTATGTTTAAGAAGGTTTTTCACTATAGAGTACAAATAAGAGAGTATAAGGGAGAAATAACAAGGGCCAAAATTATGTTATTAACAACAAATCAAGTCATAAGTTTCACGCCTAACATTGTCTCTGTCACTTAGAACACGGGCCAAATATGGTATCGTTGAGTTCCTATACTTGGTTGTACGAGCATATATTATTTTGTACTGATTTCTGGTTCTCCCTGATGAGATGCAAGGAGAGAGTTGGGAATAGAGGAGGTGTTGGGGGTCGGAGAGTATGGTTTTAGACCATTTCTCGCATGTATTCAGATGCTTATCCATTAATGTAGTGACGAGCTGACTGAGTTTTACACCGCTAGTCCTACTAACTACTTTCAACATCCTTCTCAGGATGGTATGGTCCTTTTTCAGTAACCCAGGAAAGAATAACGGGGAACAGTAAAGTAGAATAGGTAGGATACGAGAGTTGACAAATTGTGAAAGCAGAGGTTGAGGGACTCCAGTTATTCTAAGTTTCTTAATGAAGTAGGTTAGACGAAACACTTTCTTAGAAATCATTTGGATATGAGATGACCAGGTAAGGTCGGAAGATATAACTAATCCGAGGTATTTTGCATTAGACTTGGTTTCAATTTTAGTCCCCTCAATGCCACAGGCATCATGAGTGCTTACTAGTGTTTGTAGATCTCGTTTATGCCTAAAGGAGAAGTCGACAGTCTGGAATTTTGAGGGATTCAGCATGAGGCCATTTAGTTTTGACCACTGACTGATGTCCGACAGGAAGCTATTTAATTTGAAGCAGTCTGACTGAGACTTAACGGGAGGCGAAACAGTCAGGTCATCTGCATATTTGACGACGCCGATTTCGTCTGAGAGAGGTAAGTCATGTAAGAAGAAGGAAAGCAGAAACGGAGAGAGAACAGCACCCTGAGGAACACCAGCTTCAGTAAGCAAAGGAGAGGAAGCTACACCATTATATACCGTGTACTGCATCCTATTGGAGAAGTAAGAGTGCAGCCAGTTGATAGCCCAGGACTCAGTTTGTGTAAGGCTAAGCTTGTTTAACAAAAGGCCTCTAGGTACAGAGTCAGAAGCAGATGTGTAATCAAGAGCGTACAACGGACATACTTGGCCCCTTTGTCTAAGGAGGATACAATTTGTGATGAAACAGAGCAGCAGCGTCTAAAGTACTTCTACCCTGTTTGTAAGCAAACTGCTTTGGATCGTTTAGGAAGCTTAGGGAGGGAATGAGTTTTTTTGAAGTAATTTCTCCATCAGTTTCAAAAAAGGAGAGGTAATAGCAATTGGTCTAAACTGAACACTATTTCCAGAATATCGAATGACCTTGGCGGCCTGTTTGAACATTTTGGGCTACCACATTCCATGTACATTTTGCATCTATTTACTCGTATTTTATTGGTATTTACATATCACATTATGCATTCTAATCGTATTATCCACTCCCGGGATTTTATAAAACGTTTTAAACCCAAAAACTTTCATATTTGCAATAAACTCAAGAAAAAGCACCATGGAGGTTGGCAGCGTGCCTTAAAATCTACACCCATACATCACACCACTGTTCCAGTTATCATTAGTACCAACTGCCGGTCCCTGCCTAATAAAATTCTGGATTTTCAGTCTCTGTTGTCTTCTAGTACCTACCACAATACTGGTATTGTCACTCTACAAGAAACCTGGCTCCATGACTCATACGATGACAATATTGTGTCTCTAAACAATTTCAATGTTTTTCGACAAGACCGTGTTTGTTCCAAGAAAAAATGTGGTGGAGGTGTTGCAACTTTTATTCACTCAAAATGGTCCATTTCAAACAAAGTTTGTTTCAAATTCTCGAATGACTTCATTGATTGCATCACTGTGAGATGTCGCCCGAAACACCTGTCAAAATACAAATTCATTTATATTTCTAATGTTTATGTCTCTCCTGGCTGTACCATATTGGATTTATCTATGTTCGCCGATGAATTCACCGCTTTTGCTGCAGCTTGCTTCGAGAACTCTTTATCAATAGTAACTGGCGACTTCAATGGAAGCGATTGCTCCTTCCTTATATCACTTGGTCATGACAATATTGTTAACTTTGCCACCCGTCTTGGTAAAAAACTGGATCTAGTATTCATCAATGATGTTGGTATATATGAAGCTCGCAAACGTGCTCCTCTACTTAATTCTGACCACTGCATCATACGTGTACTGCCTAAAATATATTCCAAATCACACAAAGGTGTCCTCTCTCACCTCTACAGTAAAGTTCAACGGAGATGCTACTCAAAAGACAACCTAGACAAGCTCAGATGCATGTTGAAAGACACTAACTGGGACTTATTTACAGAACAAACATTAGATGAAACAATCACAAACACTACCGATTATCTTAAATTCTGTTTCGAAATATGTTGTCCTAAAGAAACATTATTCATTCGATTTGATCGCTTATCTTCGCCATATCTCAAAAAGCTACGTAGAAATAAAGAACTGTTGTTCAAAACTAATGATAAGCCTGGTGTAAAAAAGTTAAACATTCTGATAAAACTGGAAATAAAAAGACTAAATGTTTTATATAATCAAAGATTTTTGTCATGTAAAACCCCTTCTAATTTATGGAAACTTTTCAAAGAAATTACTAACGGTAAGCGATGTATTTCTGTTCCATCTCTTAATGTTGACACTCTTAATAAATCTTTCATACGCTCTTCTGTTGATACCCTTCCAAATGATACAAATCATATTGACAATAACTTTAGTGGTTTTAATACCCTTGATGTGCTTAAATGTCTCCGGTCTCTTAAGCCTTCTCAAAGCCTTGGTCCTGACGGCATACCTGCCATTGTCCTCAGGAATTGTGCTGATATTTTGTGTTATCCTCTTACTAACATTTTTAATGCTTCTTTTTCCGGTAACGTTCTACCTTTTGCATGGAAAAACATTAAAATTATCCCTATACCAAAACCATCTTCTGGTTCTGATATTAAATTTCGGCCTATTGCAATTACTTCCCCCTTTTTAAAATTGATGGAAAAATTACTTTTACTTCGTCTTGAACCCGCTTTGAAACCTTTTAATGATCCTAAACAATTTGCATACAAACATGGTAGAAGTACCTTGGATGCTGCGGTTGTCTTATATCACAATGTTGTCTCTTGTTTAGACAAAGGTGCTAAATATGTTCGTAGTGCTTTCTTAGACTACACATCTGCTTTTGACTCTGTACCTAGGGGCCTTTTTTTAAATAAGCTATCGTTGACACAAACAGGATCCTGGGCTAAGAGTTGGTTGCATTCCTATTTTTCTGATAGAATGCAGTATACTGTATATAACGGCAAATCTTCTTCTACCTCGCTTACAAAATCCGGTGTTCCACAAGGTGCTGTCCTCTCTCCTTTTCTTTTTTCTTTCTTCCTACATGACCTGCCTCATTCAAACGAAACTAACTTTGTCAAATATGCAGATGATCTGACTGTATCACTGCCTATCACTTCCGAGTCTGACAGCTCCAAACTTAATAGCTTTCTGTTGGACATCAACAACTGGTCCAAGTCAAATGGTCTTATATTAAATCCTTCCAAATGTCAGGCACTTGACTTTACTTTCAAGCATCGACGTGACTTACTTGAACTAGTTAACTCTCATGATCCCTGTAGCATAGATGGCACGGAAATTGAAACCAAATCAAGCATTAAATACCTTGGATTAGTTTTTTCCTCTGACCTTTCATGGTCATCCCATATCTTATCTATCTCTAAGAAA